ATGCGCGGTGCGCGAGGCGACCGTCGGACATACGCAAAACGTGTCCCAACTATCGGAGCCTGTTGAGCTAGACTCGATGGGATAGCGAGTTCTTGTTCTAGCTGTTTTATTCTGTCTTATGCTAGAGGATATGATAATCGGAATAGTACTAAATGTAGAAANAAATACGAGAACCCGTAATGTACTGCTCAGAACTGGATTGGCTCCAACCCGAACTACGGACGCCAATGAAATATACAAGGAATTGAAAGCAGCAAATGCTCATGTTTATTGATGGAATTAGATCATGTTTTACAGAAGGTAATAGGCCATATGATCGGTTGAACGACTATCCTCCAATCACGTAACCGTTTGCACCGACGCATCATATGTACTAGCTCGGATGTCATGTCCACCCGGTGTACCATTGGCCGAACTTCCTAAACGGTGATTGGATAGCATGAAACTGTACCTAGTCGTGCATAGAATGCGGTCACAGAAGTCTGGATCACCACAGGATGTCATTCAGAATTAATGATAATTTCAGTGGATGGCACGCAGTTCTATGTTCACTGAGGCAGATATTGGGGGGGAAGAGAAGGCCAAAGGTTGTCCCACTGATGCCTAAGTTGAAGCTATGAAAATCATAACCATGGAAGTTGGACATGTAACTCTTGTTAGGCTTCCCGATTGGAAATCACGGTATCCGTCGAATGGGTTGTTATGGGAACTTGGCGTTAGGAGTGACGCTCGTGTATCTTGTCAAATTGAGCATGACTGTCCTGTGTATGTTCATGATGACACATAAGGCCCGGCTAGATTGGGCGCGGATGACAGCAAGGTTGGCACCGAAAACTGTCTAGCCAAGGTGCGGACTTGTATAAAGTTAACTGAAAACTGTTCCACTATGGAAGCCATGATTGCTTGCCGAGGATTGGAGCTCCATAAACTTATGATATGCGAGGGGATTTTTTTATGGCTGCCTTCCTTCACCTCGTGAATGCTTTCCATTTTTCCATTTCACTTTTGCGTGAAATATGTTCCCTAAATCCGATCGTTTTGTATTTCCGAATTCCATTGTTCATGGTCTGTTCGCATATCAATCTCACACATACCCTCGTTTCACACTTTGTTTACACCTCACACGGACAGGGACACGGAAGACACGCGATGGATTTGTCCCCGGTACGAATTGTCAAAAATCCGGACGGTTCACTCCAACAGGCAGCCATGATGCGTCAGGCGTTGCAAAAAGAACGCAGAGAAATGAAACAACAGGAACGTCAAAGTCAAATGATGGCCGAACGGGAAGCAGCACCCGAACGGATGGGAAAGGACTGGCATGATCCGATGAATGAGTCCAGTGAGTTGTCTTCATTCACCCCGGTGCATGTATTACATATTGCGCAATCAACTGTACGGATTCTGGTATTATTATTGTTTCCTACTAGTTGTTACATGTGCGTAATGAATTTTCTGGACTGAGATCTTGACTGAATAAAGTTGACTAGAGCAAATTCGTAGGATATGAAGGAGCACAAGTTATACAAATACAAAAAAAGGAACAGATCGGCAGTGCTTGTGTGTAAAGAGCGATTAGGTAGAATCGGTGTCTCCCGTCTTCCAGGTTGGGGTCCGAAAGACTCTACAACTGGTTGGCTGGAGACATTAAAGGATATGGCGACAAACCGACAGCAGTGGCGTTGTTGTTGTCATTTCTTAACAAGGCAGAATGCTTGAAAAAAGGTATACATGAACACTTAGATTGTGTGCTGTGTATTGTCCATAGAGGTTCTTTTACTTTGCCTCCCTCTAAGTAGACCCAATCCCTCTCCATCTTTTGCTTTATCACTTGATTTGTATACATTGTGAGCTTGGCAGCGATCAGTGAAGCTCACTTCACTGTATCTCGCTGTACGATGATGATTATGATGCCTGTGTGTTTGCATATTTACCGATGACCTAATCATTACCCCCATTTATAATTATTGAACTAAGCTCAAATGCGTGTGTGTTCTGGCGATTCGGTGGATTCGTGATTTCTAGTTCACCGACGTTCCCATTGTGTGTGTGTGTGTGTGTGTGTGTTTGTTATTTTTATATTTTCACACACGTCGGACGCCAGACTGTGTGCCAAACTAATCATGGTACAATAATTTTTATGAAAAAAAGTGCCATGATTTACATGTGGGCGGAATACTGCCAGGTTGCCCAGGCCAAGGCAGGTGAATTTTCTTGAGGAATCCACAACCGGAACCTTTGGCTAGCCAAAGCCTGACCCGCAAGGCCTCAGGGCGGTGTGCGAAAATCGCTATCTATTGGGGGCCGGTGTATTCAGTTTGTCGGATCATATGCCCTTCGGACGGGGTCAAACTTCCAAGGTGCCCAATACATCTGGATGTCCAATCGAGCCGGTGACCGCAACCACCACAACCAGGAAGTGTGTGTGGTTCGTACGCCTCCTCATGGTTGGTTTGGGAACAGGGTTTTGGGCTAACTCCGCTAGGTGAACTACCAGTGGTCCACCGTTCAGTTCAGTTCAGTTCTTACAACCATTAACCATGCACTTTCGTGCGCCGGTTTTGGTTCCTGTCTTTTGGTTGCCCATTTGGATAAAACAGTAGAATGATGATTAGAGTGTTGAGAGCAAATTCAAGCGGAAGATAGCACATTTTCATGGACTGAAGTTACAAGAATGATGAGTAGATGCATGAGCGCCACGGTTTGCGACACCCAGCCATAACGCTCAGTGTCTATAACCATCGGCGACCATCATCTCTGGGTCCCCAGCCAGGGAGCCTAACGGGACCTATGTGAGCCAGTCTCCTGGTCGGGGTTTTCATGCCCTCATGCCAGGTCTTAGTTTGACCGCCCTTCATTTTTTTCCAACCGCAACCTGTCTCGACAAACATCGCTTACCGTGGCAACCTATCCGGTGACATGCGTAGCACATGTCCCAACCAACGTAATCTGTGGAGGTTGATCACTTGCTGCAGTGGGCGACCGCGATTACCTAAAACTCTACGCCTAACCTCAGCATTGCTCGTCCGGTTTCCCCACCAGACTCGTGCAACACTACGTAGAAATCGGTGTTCGAACACCGACGGTGTATTTTCATCCTGTTCCCGTAATGGCCAAGTTTCTGCGCTGTTAAGCAAAACTGGCCGAACTGCTGCAACATGCACTCGACCCTTCACAGACAACCTGATGTCTCAAGTTGGCAAATGCCAACCGAGTCTTCTATATGCGCGCCGACACTTCATCTGTGATACGTCCCCCGGGTGAGATGTAGCTGGCCAGGTAGCAAAATTTGTCTACTTCCTCTACAACTTCCCCGATGAGGATGGGGCTAGGGACTGGGCCAACCCATTCTTGGAGCAGCATTTTACACTTTGAAGGCGCAAAGCGCATACCATACATCGATACACTCAAACTATATAGAAAAGCTTGCAATCTACCTGGATCTTCGCTTAGTAGCACAATGTCGTCTGCATACTCTAGATCAGACAGTCTGCCACCTGGGAGTAAATCGATGCCGTTATCCCCGCACNGGCCTCGGCTATTATTGTAGAGGGATTGTAATATCGAAATAATTTTCTCGGGCACACCCTTCAGAGAAAGGCAGCGCCAGAGTTTAGAGCGGTCGACTGAGTCGAAAACCGCTTTCAGATCGAGAGAGACAGGGGTGGTGGGTCAATTTAAAGAGTATCTGTATTCTAGGATTTGACGAAGAGTGAAGACGTGGTCGATACTGCAGACAAATACAATGTTTATATGCTGTTTTGCAATGGATTACAAAATAAACACTTGTAAATGGCGGGAATCGTTACCAAGGCAAAAGAAAGCAATGAACAAGTCTTTTTGTTGACACAGAATTGGTTTCCATCGGTTGGTTGCAATCGCCTGGGCGATCTTGAGCATTTGAGATGGTGTTGGGATAGTGGTTTAGTCGCTGTCACCGAGGTTCGAGCCTCGCCATCGCCACCTGACTTTGGTGGTAGGCAGCTCTGCTGTCTTCCGGTTTAATACCACGCCTGACCTAGCGGGGCCTTATGTGGTTCGCCACTCCAAGTCCCGGAGCTCCGGTTGCCGGTTCCCATCACTGAACAGCAGGTCCTCGTGATTACGGAGTTCGCGCGGTCTACGGTTCACCACACTTAGGTGTGTAATAAAAAAAAATTCTGGTGTTATCATTAGGAAAAATCACTCGAAATGTTTTCTCGCGATCCACGCGGTGTTGCGTCATCAAGTGCTTGGCAATCGGTGAGCTGGGTGGGTTGTAAGCACGGTCCATACCAGTTACCGGCTATGTAGACTTTGATTTGGAAATCTTGCTATGAACCCAGGTCGGAATGTGTTCTAAGACCCGAATACGTAATTGCCCTTCTGTTCTGCCTGTGTAAGTGTCTCCACACACACACACACACACACACACACACACACACACACACACATTGGGATTGATAGATTAAGTTTGAGTTGGCGTACAGAGGTGGTCATTCTTTAACTGGGGGACGGTATACTCCTGTGCCCAATTCTGGGTTTGGCTGCGTAATAAGTCCGTTAACAACCGATCGTAACCATTGATGGACTAGATTAGTTACATCTTCATCACGCAAGGAAGTGTACAAGGAGATTTTAGCAATCACCCATTTAGTTCATCGGACTGTTCGCACAGTCTCGCTGCATGTCTTTTATGCGCGAATAGCTGCACTTCATTTTCGTCAGCTCATATCCAATTCGATGAGTTCGTGACCTGAAAGGAGCCTTCGATTCAGTTGACCATGAGTCCAGAGTTGGTGCATTGCTTCGCAAAGGAATGCCGCAGAATTATGTAAACCGATTGTGTGATCAGTGTACCTGCATATTTCGGATAGCTTCACGGGTTTATGGCGGGCTAAACAAACCGTTTGAAACCGGGAGCGGTGTTCGTCAAGGGTGCCCTATTTCGCCATTCCTATTCAACTTCGTCGTAGACAAAATATTGAGGAGTGCACTAAACGGTCTTCAAATTGTTGATATTGAATGGGGAGCTGGAGAAAAGCTGTGCAACCCCGAGGATATCGTTTGTTTGCTCAAATGTGTGGAGGATGTGCAAATCACTCTTGATAGACTTTCAAGTTCTGTAACTCCATTTTGTATGCGCTTTAACCTTCAAAGTGCAAAGTGATACTACAAGCTTAGGTGTCGTCTACCCCGGCTATGATACCCGATGGTCAAGAATTACTTTTAGTGGATTGTTTCATCCACTTGGGTATTTGCGTGATAAATGACAGTAGTGTAGTAGTGTGTGTGTAGTAGTGTAGTCAAAGCAGTAACCGTCCGCATTTTCACGGCTAGAACAGCTTACATAGGGTTGAAACACCTTTGGTGCAAACGTGATGTTTCCTTGAAACTGAAAGGTTGCGTATACTGCGCTAATGTGCGGTCAGTTCTGTTTTTCGGTTGCGAGACCCTTTATTTGGGAGTGGAGGATATTGGTCGTCGAGAATTCTTCGACTGCCGATGTTTACGTAGTTCAGCACGGATTGGATGGAGCGAGCGTGTAAGCAAGTCTGAGGTAAGTTGTCGCATATTTGGCGGAAGCTTCTTTATCACAGAATTCAGGTTAGTCGGCTTCGCTGGCTAGGGCACGTATTGCTTTTGTCCAGCTATCGTCGACCTTATTCTCA